AGCCTGAAACTAGTGTGTGTGTGTGTGCTCATGTGCAAGCAAGCATACGCACGTCCTTTCAGACATGTACAGTATATTATCTGCAGAGGAAGATGAAAGGTGCTGTTGCACTGTGCGGATACGCATGGTGTCTTTGCTGAAGAGAGAGAGAGAGAGGGAAGAGACAGGGAGAGAGAGAGTGTGTGAAGGGGCAGGAAAGGATAAGAGAAAGTGAGTGAAAGACAAGCGAAGAGAGAAAGTGACCAGAGAGAGACAGAGAAACATGGCTGTCAGCACGTTTCCTGCTGGAAGATTAAACGTCAGCATAAACTTAAACTAACAAGGCTCTTTCTGTCTCTCCCTCACTCACACACACACACACACACACACACACACACAAAATGTCCTCAAATTTCTCCTTGACACTGGGGCTCATCGACAGCAGGAGCCGCTGATAAGAAAGAAGACACAGAGATGAACAGTGCCACATATCTCTGCCAGCACACAAGCACACAGGCTCAGTCACCACTCACAAACACGCACACAAACACACACACACACACACACACATGCACCAATACTCAATCCATTCCTGCAAGAAAAACACACATCAATGTGTAACTTATCTCCAGGTCAACTGAGAAGCTGCAACCTCCTGATTTCATGACTTAGTTTTTTAATCCCTATCCTGTAGTTTTTGAGGAATCTTGCAGACAGACAGACAGACGGGTCAGACAGACGGGTCAGACAGACACACAGACTGCAGTGAAATCATAACCTCCTTGGCGGACTTCTTAATCCCACAGTTTGCTCTATGGACACGTCACACTCTGATTTATTTATTTTTCTGTGATGCTCATCAAGGCGAAGGCTGAATCAGTCAATCTTAACCAGTTTAAGTGTAGCATGAAACATGAGATGTACTCGATTCTGACGGGAAAACAGCGTAACAGTATACAAAGAGCCTGGAGCTAATTATATTTTCATCGATTGTTAATAAACCTATATGCTGATTACTTTTGTTTCCATTAAAAATGCAATCTCTCCTTTCACCGTTGATTTATTTGTGCCACTAGAGCAAATTTATTACAGCACAGCCCCGTTCTGAGACCTGACTGGATACACCCACACAGCAATGAAACAAATGACTTCAAAGCTCCACTTAAATCAGGAGTTCAGATTTATAATAGGCACAGTCTGCATGTTGGACAAAGACCGCATCATGATTTTGATTCTGATTTATGATTGTGATTCGAGTTTTGATAACGAGGCCACAGAAGTGAATGTAATCTCAAACAACAGGAAGAAAGTCATACACAGTAAAGTTAAAAAACAGACATCACTGACTTTAGAGTAAATACATATGTTCATTGGTGGAAAAAGTCAAAGATGAAGTCCCTTACAAGCTATGAACAGAGGAGGGAGTCTGAACCAAGCTCCCTCACATTGTTTAATCTAATCTGGTTAGTTTCTGTTTCACATTTTAATTTAGAGTATGCATTACAGATTATTTTTGTATGATGTTTGTACTGTTGCCACCACCTAGATGAGCTGCATCTACTAATCTTGTATCACTACCAGCGTCAGGCACAGTACTCAACACTAGTTCAAATGTGTGCGTGTCCTTGTCACTTCAGCTTCTTTTTCTTCTTCTATTGTTCAGAGCTCAACTTCCTGAAATTTGGTCTGAATTTGGTCGTTTTTAGGTTGTAGTCAAAGGCCCATTTGAAACTTGGTTTAGTTTGTCCTAACATTAAAGTCCAAGGGTCCAGACCAAACATGGAGGTGTGAAAGTGCTCTTAATCTATGGATTAGCAGTAAGGTGGTAGAAGAGTGCATTTTAGTGTGGAGTTTCCAAGGCCTCTCTTGAGGATTTGTCTTAATAAAAATGAACATTGTTTCATATTTTAGGTCTTTAACAGTAGCTTGGGGAATTAAGCTACTTAATTACATCACCTTCAGGAAAATAATCAGGTAAATTACTCCATAATCAAAACAATTGTTAGCTGCAGCCTTAATACATGCACATACACAAACACACAAATCACAAACCAAACCGTATGCCTTTATTTAAAGGTGGAAAGATGACACAGGTTCATGACTGGATTCGAACCCTTGTTATTTATTTATCTCTGTCTTAATAAATCATCAGGGGCACCTCATGATATAACAAAGTGTTTGTGGATAAAATGGCCTCATTAAATGAAATGTCTAAAATAAAGAGCCAGAATTCCTGTAAAAAGATTTGTGTTTTAGAATATTGTTAAAAGCAGTCCTGCTCAATGAAAGGTCACTTTGCCTATAGTAGACATAGTAAAGTGATTCTAAAATCTCAGCCAGTGTCCTCCACAACGCTGTACAGTAGCATTGAAGGAAACTAATGTACTGCCTGTTTTACGTTTTAGAGGAAGTACCACCCGCCACAAAAATCTATCAACAATGATTTACGTATAAACCTGTGGAAATGTGCTTGCTCTGAACAGGCAAAACCTGTCTTTGAATATTAAGTGACCCTCAGTAAATCCAGCAGAACACATCAGTAAACACTATCATGTTTCCTGCTGTTATTTGTGCACATACACATGAAGATGTGTAGTTACTGGTAATTATGAGAATTTGATTACATTCCTGGAATGGGGTGCAAAACAACTCAATTAAAACAGTTCTCAAGAAGGAGGCTGCACTCTCGCTGGTGCAAAATTAAGTCAGGAGAGAGAAACGGCAACAGAATAGAAATTTTTCAAAATGTTTACAAATGATAGAAAAGAGCACAGAGTCCAGAGCAGATGGAGTTCGAGTAAGAAATGATAATGCCGGAGTATAGACCTGTGTGTGGTTACATTTCACTCTTAGGCCATACAGTTGCCCATAGCCTACATTTCTGTTCCCGTGAGAGCATCTGAACACACGGGCGCACACGCACACACACATTTATACAAAAGTATTCCCACCACTGCGAGCTACAGAATTCCCTCTCCGTTTCTCCGGCCATGGAAATACTGAAAACTGAATTTACTAACCATGACCTAGAAACACACAGATTCATTGCCTCATTCACTGCTTCTCTTTCAAACACACAGACACACACACACACACAGTAAAGATATA